CGCAATTACGGATCCTGTCAAAGAAAAATTTTTGCTCATAGCTCGTCTTAATTTTGTCATTATACATTTTATTCCATATCAGACCTTTTTTTGCAAGCTCACAGCGCAGCCCTGGACGACCTGTAGGCCATCCTAAGCGTGTTTGAAAAGGACTGTGTCAGCTACGTAGATATACGTGAAGAAAGGAGGCACACGGGTAGAGAGAGAGAGAGTAGACAGTGACATAAAGAGTGCGAGAGAAGAAACCCTATCCAGAAAGGAACGGAGCGAGAAAGAAAGAAAGGTTGAGGTTGCGCGTGCTACAGACAAAGAAGAGCAGAGGAGTACTGTCAAAGGCGCCGCTTCTCGTGTCGCGTTTTTACCCAGCCAATCTTTATTCTTCGGCGACGCTCTCCGCCTTCCTTCCTCACCCTCGTCATCCTCTGTCTCTCCGCGTGTCCCACCACCGTGGTACAAGGAAGCTCCCAGGTTCCCTTCTCCGGAGACCGATCAAACAATCATGAGTATCGCCATGTAACCGCCGTCGCCGTCGTCGCCATCCCTGTCATCGTCGTAGGTCAACGGGTGACTCGTAAGTGCGAATTCTGATCGAGCTTCGATCCGGTGACAGTTGGCAATCTGTCAGGTGACTCGTCAGCAGTGACGTCCAACGCTAAGACATCATTGACAGGACTGAATAAATCTATACGCTAGAAGAAACTGTCGGCAGGCGTCAGAGGTTCAGTCAGGTAATTTGCCGAACCGGAAGTCGTTAAATAAAGAAAATAAAATAAAAATAAAAAGACCAAGAAAAGACAGTAGGAAACCGGTACGACAGCTCTTCCAGCAGTATCTCCACGCAGGTATATCCCGCAATCGTCAATCTCGTCTACAAGAAGAAGATGATCAGTCACTTCCCACTGATAATCATTCAAAGAAATCTAATGGGCCCCGGATAATATCATATTGTAACGGGTGTCTCGCAAAACGTAATTGACAAGCTGCTACCAGCAGACTCACAGACGTCCTACGATCGTCCCGGTCGGTTTGATAGCCGTCTGGCAACTGTACTCCTGACCCCGACGGTTGTCCTCTAGGCTTACCCGACCCTTCCCCTCTGGCTTCAGGGTCGACCAGCCACCCACCCGCGAGTAAATACGTGTGAAGTGGATCAGAAAGGCGGCAAAGATGAAAGAACCACGCGCTGACCACCTCAGCTGTCGCAGCTCGCAGTGGCCCATTGTTCTGGGACTCCTTTTTTCTCTCTCTCTCCCCCCGTCCCCTCTCCTTCCCTTCCTCCACTCATCGCTCTCCACTGCCACCTAGTCTTCCTCGTCCTCATCCACGTCGGGCCACTTGGGGATGAAGCTTCAATCCTCCTGGTTAGACATTCAAAATTCTTAGAAAACTTCAGTCTGGAATCTTACCTACTTCGTTCAGCCATTTTTATTGACGCATTGGACCATCGCGTCACGCGTTACTTTGGCCATTGATCTATCGTCCTACCGTCTATCGGATGTATATATTTTATTTATCGATTTCCTCTCGTTTTCTTAATTTTTCTACTCCCCATCACGATGCTCCCTGCCTCCTTCAATGCTCCATCCGGTTCACGGCCTGCCGGACCGTACGTATTTAATTACGGCACGGTCTCGGAACGAAAACTGGTTTGGACTCACAATATGATACCACGCGCCGAGCCGCATAGGCTACTACCGACGTATAATGTGGGCTTATCAAGATCTCGCAATGGCAGCACCAGCGGGAACCATCAAAGCGTCCTTTGAAGTTCAGTTGGTGTCCTCGGTATGAGTCCTCTCTCTTTAACTCTCTCTCTATATACTCCGTCAGTGTTCGCTGGCATAGTCTCTCCTTCATAGACACGTTCTCTTTCTATTTCTCTTTCTCTCCCTTGCTTTCTCTCTCTCTCTCTCTCTCTCTCTCTCTCTCTCTCTCTTTTTCTCTCTCTCTCTCCCTCTCTCTCTCTCCCGCAAGTCGCCCACTCTCATTCGCTTATCCGTACATAGGGTGCATGCGATTACAAGACCTGAAGGACTCTCCTCGAAAGACTTGCCAACCTGGCGGCGTGAATAACTTACCGATCGCAAGGAGCTTCCTACGCGAATCTTTGTTCGATTTTCCAATGGGATTTTTTAAGCCAATGAAATAGCGTCGATCGAAACGATCATAACCTAAAAAATATTAGTTGGGACACGGTGTGGTCATTTTTTTTTTTTTAATTAATAAAATTAAAGATATACATTCCTTGTCTTTTTTTTCAAATCCTTTTGATCCTCGTCCTGTGACATGCGATGACGATGAAGTCACTGGCTCCGCCGACCCCAATTCCCAAACTCCTGTCCCGAGCGTCGTAGTTGTCGTCGTCTCCTGTTAACGAACGGCGCCATTAAAGCGCATTAACATATAATTTTCCGCGAGAAATTATAGGCAACTTAGCGGAGCTGCGCGCGGTGTTTATTATATGGGCAGGGGCATTAAACGTTGCGTCGTCTTAGTGAAGTCGATCCGGTATACGTACGTGTTCATGTTAACACACTGGTCGAGGACGTCGCGTGCGTGTGTGGGATTGCGTGCGGCGGCGAGATCAAAGGGGATTCCCCTTTCTCGCTCGTTCCCTCGTACGTCGACAGTTATCTCGCTTTTACTCACGCTCTCCCGCCGTCTCTCCTCGATGGCTCTCTAACAACTCAATAGCCCCGCCACAACCTGACGGGGTTCCTCTCTTATTCTCTCTCTCTCTCTCTTTCTCTCTCTCTCTCTCTCTCTCTCTCTCTCTCTCTCTCTTCGTCTAACCATGATTATCGCACTCTTTTTCTCATTATCCGTTTTCTTCGTTGTTTTGGTTCCTAGGGGAAAATTTTTTATTTTGATAATACAAATTTCCCTACATTTCTCACGGGGGTTAAGCATTGGTCGCGTGTCGCTCTCGTGAGAATTCCTCTTTCATTCTCGTTGCAAGACTTCCTTGCAGTACGGGAAATCAGGTGAGGTTCGAGATTGGCTTGCTCGGTTTCACGTTCTGGGGAAATAATGGATACCCCGTGGTGGATACGAAGGGTTGGTCTGATGCGTCTAGGGATGAAATACAATTTACTTGAAAAAACTAGTCTAGCATTTTTGAACGCCCCGTCGAGCAGCTTTCTTTCTTTTTTAGTACCACGAAGACGCTCTCGCCTAAGAAGGAAACGGTTGACGGGAATAACGGCGGTGGCGACTAAGCGAATTTCATAGGAAGCATTTATTCGCCTCTGGCTACTCTATTGTTTTTTTATCTGAATTGTGCTACCGGTCAGTTTAGCATTTTTTTTTTGTTTTTCGATAACTTACTAGCTTTAAGCTTTTTTTTCTCTCAATTTAAGGATACACATTTCGCTGCCAAATTTCTTCTGAATTTGCTATCAGATTGGTTATTACTTCAAATAAATATTTTTTTTTATGTTGTATGTATACTGCGTATACTGATTTTCTTAACTTTTCGATAGATATTTACCTAAATTTTACTTGTGTTTATTTATATTTATTTTATTATTATTATTAATCCACAGCGATTTTGAGTTAGTCAAAATTGTGTCGTTCGTTCCCTTTTGTCCAAAACTTGTATTTAGTAATATTTAAGCTGACTCTTGTTTTTTTTTTATTTATTTATATTATATTTCATATCATCATTTCTTTCGCCCTGGGATGCGTCCCGAAAAAAAAACCGACGTAATTAATCCACCTGGAGTCCAAGTCTTTTGTTTTACGGGCGCTTTTCATGCGCGCGAGACACCACCACCAGCTCAGTAGCGTAGGCGTAGGTAGCAGAGAACGGTAATAGCTTGCATGCGGTATAGCAGAGCCCCTTGGCAGATTGGCTGTCCCGAGCAGGCTGTAACCTCTTTAATTCTGCATTCGCTCGAGACTCGATTCGATGCCATGACAGGATCGTCGACGCGTCAACTGAAGCGCAATCTAGGTAAATGATAAATAAGAGGGAAAAAGGAAATTCAAGCAATGGAAACGACACCAGCGAGTAACGTATACCTCCTTTCTTTTCGTGCCTCGTGAATAGATATCATCTGATAGCATCCAAAGAACTGTAGCAACTAAAACTGTTGAATAATGAAAAAAAATGAATGTCACAAAATTTACCTCTAATTAAACCGAGACGCTGCACTTCCTGTGAACGTTGTTGTCTGATGTCAGACGTCTTTGTAGAAAAATAAAGCAAAAAAGTGACATGTTTTTTGTCACCAGCCAGAACCACCTAATTAATCCTCAAAAAATGGAGTCGCCTTCAATACGAAATACAGATCAAGAAAACTTGAAGGATTTTCGTTTAAAGGTCTTAAGAATTCGCCCTTATACCTGAACCTTTGGTGTTCCTTTACTTTTTGTCCGGCGCGCTTCGCTCCGGCACGTGAAGAAGACTGCCGATGCGAACAGGGCAGCATCGCTTCTGATTGGTCGGTTTGGGCCCTGTGCCGGTAGTGGGGGTAGGACTCAGACGACGGAAAGATCCGTAGGGGGAGTTGAAAGAAGGGCCGCTAGGGGGAATAAGAGATAAAGAAAGACAACGCTAGAGAACCACTGCTCGAGCGTAAGAGAAACGAATAGAGTAAGAGCGACAGCTGGCTCTATAACGTCGTCGTCGCCGTTGCCGCCGCCGCCGTCTCGGTTTATGGTCACTGTGCTCGACTCGGCGTGCTGTGGATTCAGTCTAACCGTGCGCGTTGTGTAAGACGCAGCAGACTTTTCGAAAGCTGTATAGCTGGAGTCTCGTGGAGGATACATAGAATCGAACGAAAAAGAAAGGATAATAATTGAAGATCCTTTTCTGTTGGGCTGGCCCAGCAATACCTTACCACGATAACAACATATTAACCTTAAATTATATTCCAAACTATTCCCGGTGCTTGTTCCTTGTGCGTGGCGATGCTGTTCCTAGGCCGGTGTCTATTTATCCTTAGTAAATAGAAGGTTCTACCTACGCCTACCTTTATTTCATACTATTGGCATAGACCAAGGAGTAGGTGTGCGTCTGATATTCCTCGTGGAGATTTCAATGCTGCTGGAAAGGCATTGGCAGAACACGAACTCACAAGACATTCCATCCTGGACACTTATGTACCGTTGCTACACCAGCAACAGTATACAGAATCCTCCAGTGACCAGACACAACTAGTCACGTTTCAGTCCACTGGGAATTTCAGTGAATAAAATTCGGATACATTCAGGCACCGTCTGTATACAATAATTGGAGTCGTTGTCAGTGACGTCACACGGTGGACGAAAGTAGCGCGACCTTAACCGTGAAAATGTTTAAAAACTGTGAAAAGCCAACGGCCACCAGTCTGGCGCTCACAACAGAGCCGACTTTTATTTACACGAGACGCTGCGATATCTCCTGGTGCACTTGACTTCGAAGCGTAAACCAATCACCGCCGTGGAGGCATATAAACACAAAAGAAAAGAATACCCAGCAGACACCAGGAAGACGTTATGGATCTCGTCGTGGATAACCTATATAAGGTACAGTAGCTTAATGAGTTTTGCTGGAGGTATATCATCCATTCCCTTTGGTTTATTTTTACTGTGTATTTACCGTCCCGATGGCCCAGGGCGCTCCTAATGCTCGTTACGGCATTGAGATCACCCGGTGGACAGTCGGGACGTCGGGGCGGTCCTTTAGAAGTTTCTTTAAAAGGTTCGCAGCGCATTCTAGTACGTAAGTCATCTTGCGATAACGGTGACACGCCTTTGACTGCTCGCGCTATCGTGCTCGATATCGTAGCTTGTAATACTGAACTCGTGCCCCGGCATACCAATTTCCAGTTTCCACCGCGTTCGGTTATGCTGGACATTTTTTTTCCTTTTTATTAGTAGACTGACACACGGTCACAGTCGCTTATGATTATTCTACGTTATCGTTCGCTATCTTACCTTTTCTCTCTTTTTCGATTCCCTTACACACGCACGGTCTCCCAGTAATTTTATTTACTCGTGTACGTCCGTCCGTCATTTCGTCGTGCACGTCGTCGCCTCTTTGAAAACTTGTATCGACTCGTCGAGTAACACGGTGACGAACGCTTCTCTTAACGGTCTGGATATACGATGTGTTTCGACAGCGTTTCAGTTTTCCCAGCCACTGGAGCACTTTTAGGTTAATGTTTCGTAAGCGGGAACCCTTTGACGTCTTCCTGCAACAAACCTAACCTCTAATCTGTTCAAAGTGATACCTAAGGATACACCGTCGGCCCAGTCATTAATTCGGTACTTAAATTTTGACTTGAACGTTTTAGGTTGGGTTAGGTCAGACGTAAAGATAGAGCGCGGATTATGGTTCAACGGCGTATTTCGTTTTTTTTCGAGCGTCTTACTTCGCGTCGTATAAACCGCTTCAGTTTGAACGCCCTATATAGGGAGCACTCGGATAGCCCTAGAGGAACGTGAAGTCTTCTTTCTTGGCTCTCTTCCGAACGTGGAAGACTCTCTTGGATATCTTTCTACTCTGTTGGGCGAGTAAAGGAGAATTCGCCGACACCGCGAGGGACGCTCGTACCGTGGAGGTGGTGAACGACTCGTGGAAGGAGATCAGGAGGAGGACGGAACGAGTACGATTGATGGGGAAAGGAACGTGGAGAGTGAACGAAGAAGAGAAAGAGAGAGAGAGAGAGAGAGAGAGACCAAGAGAAAGAGGTTGAAAGGGTTAGCTGAATGGAAGCCGTGTGTATGCTTTCCTCGTTTGAGGAGCTCCGGATTTTCCAGTGTCGTAGCAACCTCTTACGGGGCCCCTGCTCACTCCTCTCTATTTATCAACCCTTCTTATTTACTCCTGAACACATTTTACATGGCTCTCGCATTGTCTATTGAACTTCTATGAGGTTCTTTCTCACCAATCCTCAGGACGACCCCCCTGTTAGGGATGCTCAAGCAATTTGGTCCTTTAATTTTTTTTATTTCAATTTATACTTGTTTACTCAACTTTCAGTTGACATATATATGTTTCATTAAATTTGTTTTAACTGCTATGGTTTCACTGTTTTTATTACTAATAATCGTCATTGCTCATTTTAGACCTTGTCATTCATGTTTTTGGTTATACAATAATTATTTATTTATGTATAACAGTTTGGAATTTCAATTCAGATATGACTTAAGTATTGAGACTTTTCATGAACGAAAGACTTCAGGCTGATTTGGCGTTGTCAGTGTTTTGCGCTGCTACGGCGGCAAAGCCTCTATGAAGATATAACCGCGAGGAACGGGACGGGGGGGGGGCGTAAGAGGCTAGTGGATGAAAGAGAGAAGGTAGTGCAGCACTGAAGGAGGAGGTTAAGTGAGGCGAAGTGGAGACCAGAAGAAGACGCGTAATTACATACCGTCCTGCCTACCTTCGGTCTTCATCTTCGAGCGTCCTTTTTTACATACGTTCACTCTATGTATGCTTACATATATATATATACATATATCTTAGTTCAATCCAACTTTAACCTTTGGAAGTGTCGATACTGCACCAAAAGAGTCCCATGGGTCCTACCTGCGGAGTCACCCTTTCATACCGAACACCTTGTCCAGGTTTTCATATTTTATCTAGTTTATTTTTCTTCGTCCGCCGTCTTTGTGATCCCGTAGAATTTTCCTTACTCAGCCACTACGGCAACAATCTGTACCGCGATTGCTCCTGGGTCGTCCATTGTCGGCGCGACACGTATATCTGAAACGTCCTGTAGCCATACATGGGATTTGTGTCCAGGTCGCCGATGGCCGGGACTTTGCCGGCTTTTACCATACCACGAGAACGCGGCTACTCCTTAATCGTATTTTCATGGCTCCGTTCCTCCAGTGTCCCGCGAACGTATGTCCAGGCCTTTTCTTCTCGATGCATTCACGAGCTTCGTGTACCCTATACAGGGTGTCCCGCGAGTAAATCTTTTCGTTTTACATCCCATCAACGCGTATACACGCGCAGCCCTGTCTGCTCTCTTTACTTGGAGAATTATGAAGAACTTCTCGTCGGCGCTCTAAAGGACGTCTTGTATTGCCTTAGCTCTGGGTACTGCGCGGTGCCGTGCTGGGAATACCGGAATAACTCACTTTCCACGAGACCGGAAATCATTATGGGTTCCAACCATTTTCAAACCCGTAACAAAATAGCAACCGGATATATAATGCACTTTTAGTTTAATAACAAAAAATAAAAGTTGTACAATACCATTTAAAAAAAATCTTTTCACCTAAAACTGTCAATTATATCATTCGACAAATGCAAAAAAAACCAAAATTCTCTCTGTACGGTGAAATTTTTTTTTCAAAATTTCAAAATTTATATTTCAGGTAAAACTCAAAAATCACGTTTATCCACAAAATCTATATCACGTCTGTACAATATATTGTACTCGTAACATTATTATCTCCAAGTACACTACTCGCTGGACACCCGGTATACCGGGTGGCAAGGGAAGGGCCCTGGCTCTCGAACAGCGTGGCTCGGCCGAGCGAGGCGTTCCGAAAACCTGTAATTACGGACCCGGCGTACATCAAGCGGTGCCGCCAGCCGGCGAGGCCTACGTCTCTCCTCTCTTTCGCTCTCTTTCTCAGTCTTCTTCTCCTCCCGTCACTCCTCTCTTCCTTTCCTCTCTCGCCACTCGTCGTACCAACCTTTTCTCCTCTCGACGTCTCTTCCCTCCCACCACGTCTCTCTTCTAACCTTCTACTCCATAACCGTCGTTCTCTCTCTCTCTCTCTCTCTCTCTCTCTCTCTCTCTCTCTCTCTCACACACACACACACTCTATCTTACTCCTCGCTCTATGTTTCTCTCTTTCTCTCTCCCGCTAGCTTACCTGTACCGCTTACCTTCTCGGACGCAGGAGGATTTCTTTCCGACATGATTTACCGCGGCGGAGGAACACAGATTTTCTATCTTCAAAACTATGGAGATTCGGGATAAATCGTGAAGGCCCAGTCGGGCCCACTCAAAGGTCCCACTGGTGCTGGTTATGGATTCACAGAGACCCAAAGGGGATCTATGGTGAACCTTTTTGCGTGCACCTATGGTATCAGCCGAGAATCGAGTATCCGGTCTCCTTATATACTGTAAGGAAAAAAAAAATTATTCATTTTTAACGTACACGAGTTTTTTCAAAATTGGTTATACATCCTTTTTTATAATTCGAGGAAGCGTACGAATGAATCAAATTATGCAACAACGCCCAATCGCTCCTTGACGATTTGCCCAGTCATGCCCTCTTTGTCATGCTACGGATACCACTAGACCCGTGTATTTATCTTTGCGTTCAGTCAACTTGCGAACGATCCTTACGGTTACTTCGTAATCGGTACGGTCACGTTGTGAAATAGATATACTAGGTGGTACTTGAGCGTAGCTGATTCGTCGAAGGAAACTCAACCTAGTCCTTTATACGTACATCGTGGTTTTCTATTTCTTCGAGTTTGACGAGTATCTCGATACGTATCGAATGTATCCTGGATATACATAGACATAAAGAAAGGTCTCGGAGGTTTTCATTTGAGCGAATAAAGGAATGAAAAAAAAAAAAATTCAACGACGGCACACAAAGGTTTAAGGATTTTCGACTGGACCAACCTGCAGGGCAGACGGACTAAGATAAAAAAAAAAAGGATGGCATTTCCACCCTGGGCAGTTTCGCAGTTGCTATTTAGGTATAACGATCCTGGCGGATATATAACCAAGCGAGATAAATTCGCGTGTAAAGCCGTAATAGAGGGAAGGGATCAAAAGCGGCAAGGGCGAGGATTCGCGTCGTTCAGGAAAAACTACGAGGTTAGGGCCAATTTCTAAATACCTCGGGAAGAACGCTTCAGTGGCAAGAAATGAAATCCCAGGACGATACTTCGTCGGTGTGTAGGGATCCTTTAAGATTCCGTGAGGTCCTACGACAGCGGGCATTAAGAAAAGTCTTCTAAGATACTGTGGGACAGGAAGGGGGGTTAGCAGTGCGAGAGGCACAGTGGTTGATTTTTTTTTTTTTCGAAAGAATTTTAATCGCAGGACGATAAGGGATGTCGGGAGCGCGAGAATCAGCGCTACGAGGAGATACGAGCTCTCACTCCGGACGATCATCCTCCACGTAGCTTCCTCTATTCTCTATACTTACACCACGGGCCGTCGAAAAAGGGCCGAGTCGCGTAGGAGGGTTCCGAAATGGATGCGGCGACGTAGACGCGAGTGGGACTGAAATGGAGAACGAAGGAAAAGGGCCAGTCGGGTTGTCTCGTTGTAAGACAGAGAACGAGCAAGCGAGAGCAATGAAGAGCGTGGAAGGAAGAGAAGGCCGCTGCCCTGAAAAACTAGTAGCTACGAGCGTAAGAATGTCGACCAGCAGCTCACTTCGTTCAGACTCAGAAGCCTTGCAGCACTCTGGAGTTATAGAGCATAGATCGCTTTCGCCATTTTTTTTAAAGCGAGGGTGCTGCCACCTGGCGGACCGAACCTTTAGTTCGATTAAATTTGAATGAACGGACTCGATCAATCGAAACCATTTTTCTT